GAGAGGGAGAGGGAGAGAGAATTGTAAGGATAGGTGGTGGTTAGTGTGACGACTTTATTATCTCAAAGGTGGAACAGCCTGGGATGATAAAAGTTTCAAGGAGTGGCCAAGAGAAAGGGTGCCTGAAGTGGAGGTGAACATTCCCAGAGGAAAGGAGGTCAAAGTACCGAAAACTTAGGCAATCCATGTGGATCCTAAAGCCATCCCAGATAATGGCAGTACTTGGAACAGAAGAACAACCCTGTGAGCAAAGTTCAAAGCCATGGATAAATGAAGGGCAGGGAACTACAGGGCTGGGTAGACAAAGCAAAGATATTGAACTGATGGGGGTGTAACTGGTTAAGAGTTTTTATACAGTTGTGAAGGAGTAAACATTAGTTGAGAGTTTGTTTGCCAGGCTTTACATATAACAGTCCATTTCATCCTCACACACAACTCACAAACTTTATATAATGTAGGTAATATTTGTCTCTTTTATGATGAGGAAAGTGAAGCACAGAGAGGTGAAGCATGAACTAGTATCTCACAGTTCATATCCACAATGTTATATTGACTCTCATAAAACGGTAGTGGAAGGTGTCTTAATACATTTCAACTGAAAAAAAAAAATCAGATCTCTTGAATATTGTCAGGGGAGGGGTTAACTTTTTTGGAAAAACAATGGAAATATTTCTTTAAATTTCATTTGCACTGATATTTGTTTTGTAATCTCCAGCAAGTGGCTGCACTAACAACAATTTCATACTAAGTCGTCTAACAGAAATATTGATGCAGTTTGCATTTATCAAGACGTCTGTCTACTCCATGCCTTGATGATTTCTTCAGCAGCATCTAGTGTACTGTCTTTCTGTAAATAAATGATATAATCATTGTTACATATGAAAATAAATTCAAGATGAAGTAAAGATTTAAATATAAATATATATACCAAAGTCAGTCCATTAGGAATAGTCATGCAGTGATTCCGGAAGCAAGTGCTTCTTAACCCTTGGTAACTTGAGCCAGGCCCAGTTGAGCTCCAGCATGACCTTGGCCTTCGCAGTGATGACAGAGCCCCAGAGCATTCATTGGAGGGGCACGCCTTCCCAGTGAATTGAGTCACTGGAAGCCTTGCCCATATTAAGCCACAACCCCAGCAGGAACATGGACAAAGACCAGGAAATGGTGTCTGCAGCATCTTCCCTTCATTTCGTGGCTTAGTACACAGGTCCCAAGCTCTTTAAGGAGCCAGTAGCAAATCACACAAACCAGTTATTACACTGCTATAATATTGGGTTGTCGGAAAAGTCATGACGTATTTTTTCTATGTTTTTCATTGCAAAAATGTGTCATGACTTTTCCGACAATCCAATACATAGCTAAAGGCTATATCCCATTGCTGTCTTGCTGAAAAAGTGCATGAGCCTCAGAAGAATTCAGTATTAGAGGAACTAGAGAAGTGTGACGTCAATCATTACATCATACTATTTTGTGATGCTGGTTGCCAGTTCAGGGCACTTTCTGCTACTATCCTGACACCGAAGAAATCTACAACTTAACCTGCACAGGACCAAAGAGTACCACCAGGAAAATGATTGACAAACTACATACGAGTATAAAGGTTGGACTAAAAACAGTTTAACTTGATACCAGCCAAAACTATGTCCATCAGTGTAGACACTATGACTATTCATAACTACTTGTGGTAGTCCAAGCAGCCTGATGTGCCAGAGAAGACCCAGGCTTGCAAATGACCCTGATGTGGGCAGAGTCTGAGGGCTGTGCTGGTGGGATCAATATTTATTATTTTCATTCATTTGGGTACGTAATGTGCAAAATCACAAATCTCTTTCACAGAGGCTTCTAGTAGACAACAAAAGAAAACCACTCCCTTAGCCCCCAGTAAACAGAGAGGGTGCCAGGTGGAACGAGAATTGAGGAATCAATGCCCATGTTTTCAATGGCTCACAGCTGCTGTGGTCACTGCTAACTATGGAGGCTTTCAGATGTGGGATGTATGTGCACAATATCTCTAGTCAGTGGATTCCCTTTACTTGAAGTTCTCCTTCAGTGTAAATTAAGTGATTTACTTTGCTTTCTTGCCTCTCACCTCACCCAGTTTTGCACATGACCTGACATCCCTTATGTGGGCCAGCTATAATCTCATGCTATTATTGGACTGAAACTTTATCTCAGTCAGGGTGTTTGAAGGTCTTTAGGGAAGGAATGTGTATTGGGGAAATCTTTTTCATTTGAGAAACTGTGCATTTATCGATTGTGTCTACTGCCAATGTTTATATCCAATTCTAAGATTCCTATAAAAATTTTATTCTTTGCTGTTCAGAAAAAGTTTGCTGAAAATACAAGTTTACTAAAATCGCTGAAATCTGCAAAGTCTATCTTCTGCTAAAATGTTTACAAATATGGTGATTCTTTCTGACACACAATCATGAGGATGGTGAATGGTACTACTAACTGGCATTTGCCTAATTGAAAATAGGCAACTCGAGCAAATTACTTGTACATCCATCATTCATTAAGTTTTTGATAGTACTCTAATCTGTTCACTTTAACAGATTTTGGTGAAGCAGAAACAATAATAAAATGTAATAGTACAAATGAAGATTTAAGTGACTATCTGATCTCAAATGAAGAGAGTTTTTCAAAGTACAAATGCAAAGGCAGGCCTCCAAAAGGAAAACAATCAAATTAAATATATAAGTATGGAAACAAGTCAAAGAGGACAAATTATACTCCCACTCTCAATCTATGAAAATATCTTATGGAACTTTTTAGTTCTTTTGGTTGTTTCCAATCTAATAGATAAAATTTCATTCCAGTTTTAATTTTCATTTCTCTTACGAGTAAGGTGGAGCATCCTTTCATATATTTTGACAGCTATTGAGGATTTTATCCATTACCATCGTAAAGTGCTGCTTTTTGGCTTATTTTGCCCTAAATTCAACCTGCTTTCTTTTGATTTCCTTTTTTTGGCATGTTTTGCCACCCTTTTATTTTTAATCTTTCCAAAGGGCTGAGTTAGGTGTGAGAAATTTCCCTAGGGACTTCTTGGTACTGCTCTACTGCCTTTCAATATTGAATGTATTGATGTAAAGGAGGTGAAGTCCACAGTGATCCTCTCCTGTCCTCATGGAGGCCTTGATCTTTTTGTCTAGATGCCAAAGAATCATTTCTTTATCTGCAAAGTCCAATATATTAAACAAAGTATATCTCAGTGTCAGTCATTCTGTGACAATTTTTCCTGAGACACTGAATGCCTTCCTGAAAGGCATTCACTTTCAATTTTTAGATTTGCTTATTTTTTTAAATGGAAAACATTCTCAAAATAAAGCTATAAAATTCCCTTCCCCCCTCCTCCGGGACTCTACGTATTTCATTTGTCTTCCACATCTATAATTTTTCTCTCTAATATTTTCTAATTCTTTGTTCTTTTCTACCTCTTTTTGCTCACTTTTCTTAATCTTAATGTGCTTACAGAAGTATTTAGCATTCTCTGTGCTGTTTCCAATGTCAGCACAGTTTCCAATAGCTTTATTTTTTCCCTTCAATCTCTTACCTGAACTCTGACAGCTGCCATTTCATGTTCTTATATTGTCTTACTCTGTCTTCCCCAAACATTGACACTCTCTGCTTTAGCCTCTTGTTTGAAAGGATTTGAATTTGAAATACCACAATTTTTATGGGCTCTATGACGTTTTTCTGGTTGACTATTCCGTCTGACACTTGTTTTACCTTGTACCTTTCTCTTTTTTTCCTTATATTTTTATAAATTCATAGCTGGTTCCTTTTTATTACTCACTTTGGACTGAATCCTGTTTGTAAATTCCCCCTGCCAGTAAACGTACTGTGCCTAGTGTTCTGGGTAATGAGCATGCTATCTGCTGGCTTTGTCTATGATGTGAAGATGTAGAAGCAGGAACCTTTCGAGGTATTTTCTCTCTACCATCACCTGCACTGTTTTTGGCAACTCTTTCTCATTTACTGGGGAATTTATGAATTTGTTTTGCATTCTCCTAGTTGCTTTTTAATGATTTCTATGAAGAGAATTGGAGGGGCTGTGTTTACCATTTTAAAACTGGAGTTTTAGGTTATTTTTATCTTCCATTAGTTCTGTTTATAACTTCAAGCAACATACCTCTATTTCTAGATCCAGTGTAAGATGAAAATATTAATGGCCTTACCTGTTCTTCTACAAATTAAATGTTGACATTGTTAGTTTGTCAATATTTATATTCTATTCTGGATAAGTCTTCCATACTTTATAGGTTGTGGCTCTAAAAGTTGAAAACAATTTTTACATCATTCTGACTAGGTTTGCAGATGACTGTGTTGATATAGAGTTCCTTGATCTCAGTGTGACTGCTTTTAGTAGCAATTGCATCTTAAAAACAGCAATAATACATTCAGATTTTTTTTTAGTACAGATCTAATATAATGAACTATCTCAGCTTTCATTTATCAGGGATGTATATATCATTTTCAATTTTAACAGGTATTTTCCTGGATATATTGTAGAATTCTGGGCTGATATTTTTTTCCTCATTTAAAAAAATATTTTTATTAAAATACAGCTAACATATTATATTAGTTTCAGGTGTATACAATAGTTATTCAACAGTTATATATCTAAAGAAGAGATCACCATGATAAGTCCAGCAATCATCTGACACCGTACTATGCTATCACAATATTATGGACTATATTGCCTATGTTGTACATTACATCCCTAAGACTTATTTTTTATCTGGAAATTTGGACCTCTTATTCCCCTTCACCTTTTGCCTCCTTTTAACATTTTTCAATTACAGTTGACATTTAATATTATTTTATATTAATTTCAGGTGTACAGCATAATGGTTAAACATTTATATAATTTAAGAAGTGATCCCCCTGACCAGTCTAGTACCCACCTGGCACTATACATAGTTTTTAATACATCATTGACTATATTCCCTATGCTTTACTTTACATCCCCATGACTGTTTTGTAACTACCAATTTGTACTTTTTAATGCCTTCACCTTTTTTATCCTTCCTTCCAACCCACCTCCCATCTATCACCCTGATAAATCTTGTACCCATCTGACACCATACACAGTTATTACAACATTACTGCCTATATTCCTTATGCTATACCCTACATCCCCATGACTACTGTGTAACAACCAATGCATACGTCTTAATCCCTTCCCTCTTTTCACCCACTCCTAAACCTGCTCCCATCTGGTAGCCATCAAAATATTCTCTGCATCTATTAGTTTGCTTCTGTTTTGCTTGTTTGTTTATTTTGTTTTTTAGATTCCACATATAAGTGAAATCACATTGCATTTGTCTTTTTCTGTCTGACATACTCTACTCAGCACAATATTCTCCATGTCAAGCTATGCTGCCACAGATGGCGAGAACCCATTCCCTTCCTTGGCTCAACAGTATTCTATTGTATATATGTACCACCTCCTCCTTATTCATTCACCCATTGATGGAGAACCAGGCTGCCTCCACATCCTGGCATTGTAAGCAATGCTGCAGTGAAGGTATGAATGCACATGTCCCATTGAAGTAGCGTTTTGGGTTTCTTTGGAAAAATATCCAGAATTGGGATTACTGGGTCCTTCTTTGTATCTTGTTATAGCCTTTGTTTGAAAGTCTATTTTGTCTGATATAAGTATTGCTACTCCAGCACTTTTTGTTTTTGTTTTTCTTCGTTTCTGTTTACATGAAATATCTTTTCCCCATCCCTTTACTTTCAGTCTTTGTGTGTCTTTGAATCTGAAGTGAATCTCTTGTAAGCAGCATCTGTAAGCGTCTTGTTTTCTTATCCATTTAGCCCCCTATATTTTGATTGGAG